TTTTCTCTATCTTCTTTTACTCTTCCGGTACCCATTAAATATATTTTTGTGATAATTAGCTAACAAAATTTAGGCCAGCATCAAGATTTGACCTGGAGTGCTATTTACGCAAATCTAATAATCAAGTTTTGCCTTGAAATTTTATGTTGATTGAACTTCAACTCTTCATTCTCTCATCTCTCACTTGCGTTGGGATTAATATAATATGTTGCATTTAATTCTCTATATATGTGTGATTTCCAAGCTGATATAGTTATAGTATTGCAGGGAAATGGTGGGCAAGGAGTTGGGCAAGAGAAGAAACAATGTCTCTTTTTAGGTTTAATTTCTGTAATCGTTTGGCCATCGGAAATAAACGATAGTAAAATGTCAACTAAAACTTGGTGAAGAATTTGTCATCCTTATACAAAGGTCGTGCTAATTTTCTCTGTTCGAATTTTATCAAGAATTTCCAAAATTTGGTGCATTTATATAGTTACAATTATCTTTTAATGAAATTTTGTGTGTGTCAGCCGAGCGAGGGACAACGTCGCGATACTTGCTTTCTTCTCAACTCTTTAAAAATTAGAAAAAGTACTTCCATATAAAAGCATAACAAGATTCATCTTCCTAACAACGAAGGACAAAGTTCCTTTGTAAAAAGAACTAATTCAAAAAACATATTTTCTTCTATTTCTTTTTCCTCCATTTTTTATTCACACATTAGTTTAAAACCAACAACTTTGGATTAATCAAATACCGAATATCAAATGAAAACTACAAAAAGAATTGTTAAAGCTCCATATCATCATCATAGGCGGATTCAAGATTTAAATTTTATGAGTTCAATTTTTAAAATTTTTAGTATTGAATCCATTATATTTTTAAAATTGTGAATTTAAATTTATCATTTATTACAACTTTAATAAATTTTTACATATAAATTTATGTTTCGCATATACTTAGTTGAGATGAACCCGGCGGCGAAACTCATTCATCACGACTTTTTCCTGTCCTTAAGGAAAATTTCAGCTCGTTGGTGGCACCTCTAAACACCGTCAAAAGCGGCAATACAACGGTCCACTCACAAACCGCCACGTATATACGCAACGTCGGTCATAAGGAACTGCATTCGCATTCTAGCGGTTAACTTTTAGCTGAAAGTCAACGACCGAGATTTTCAACCACGTATTCTTCTGGAGGTGTATTCCTCTTATGCCCGCGTGTACTCTCTTGGCTATTTTTCTATGTTTTATTTAACGCTGTTAGTTTAATTTTCTTTTGAATTAATTACCAAAAACCATATTCTCATCTCTAGTCTACTTACTAAGTTGAATTTTGAGAAATTACATGTTTTTTAAGATAATTTTCTTCTAAATGATTTTAGGTTTGACATTATCCCGTTTTAACATCTTCAATTATATTGGTGTTATTGGCATTCCTACAGACCAATGTATTTGTAGGCCTATATGAAGCATGACCAAACCGTTTTATGCATTTTCTCTCATTTTATCATTGTCACGACCGTATGATGTCGTGACGGCACCTAGTCTGTAAGACTAGACACGCCTAACAAACATGTGGAAATAATAAAAATATCAAATAAACTCTTAAAGGCGATTCTTGAAGTAATTTTCACCATGTGAATTGGGGTAAGTGTTCTCTACTCATTTTTGATTTTATATCATGAATCTATCTTCGTTTTTTGGCATTTGATCGAGAGTTTCAAGAGAGAGATTAGGGGTTTTAGCCTAAAGTTTCATAGAGTGTGCTTTTGAGTTTTGAATATCGATTCGGAGTCGGATTTTGGTGAAACTAGTATGGTCGGACTCGTAATTTAATGGGTTGTCGGATTTTATAAGTTTTGTCGAGTTCCGAGGCGCGGGTCCGGGTTGGACTTTTGAGTCGATTTTGGTCTTTCGATTAAAGATTTGACCTTTATCGATTGTGTTTGTTTCCTTTGGCATTAATTGATGTATTTGAGTTGCTTTTGCTTAGTTTCGAGCCGTTCGGAGGTCGGTACGCGCGAGATGGCATTTTTGTAGCATCGCTTGGCTTGCTCGGTATTGAATTTGGCTTGTTCGAGGTAAGTAACACTTCTAAACTTGGTGCTGAGGGTATGAAACCCCGAATTACGTGTTATGTGATTGATGTTGAGATGACACACATGTTAGGTGAAGGGCGTGTGGGCATGCACCGTGTAAATTATGATTTAGTCGATTTCATTGAACTGTGTAGCTATTTTTATCTGAACATTTTTACTATACTCTATGTGCTAGAGCACTTGAGCTGTAATTCATGTTAGAAATCATGTTTAGGCTATATGCTGGTACTATTGGGACCCACATTGGTCGTTCTTTGCTGTTGAGTTATTTGCTTAATTGCAGTTATGTGCTCAGTCGCATTCATCATTTTATATTATATCTCAGTCTCTGTTATCGTATATTGTCCCATCTCGTATCATTGATTAGGGCTGCTTAGCAGGAGTGTTGTGAGCTCGAGAGACTAGAGAGATTGATGACCAAGTGAGGCCGGGGACCTGTTGTGAGTGATGTTTATGGGATCGAGCTGCACGCCGCAGCAAGTTTTATTGATTCATGCCAAGATTTAGCTTATTATAAAGCTTGGGCTGGATCGGCTCCTCCGGAGTCTGCACACCCACAGTGGGCGTAATTGCTAGCAATCATTTACATTTGGGCTGGATCTATCCTGGTTTATTTGCATCTAGGTTCATTTCCAGCATGCTGGATTTTCCCCTAGTTTAATTGCATCTTTGGGCTGGATGTGCCTTGGTTGATTTGCATTTGGGCTGAATCTACCATGTACAGTACTGAGTGACTGAGTGTGCTGAGTATTGAGCATGATGAGTGAGAATATGAGACAGTGAGATGGAGTACTCTGAGAGGATGGGTATATTAGTTCATTATTAAGATACATTGCATTTGACATGCGTACTTGAGATACATGCATAGAGATGCATTTCCTTCTGTTACCCGGCTTTGGTGACATTCATGATTTCACCTGTATATTGACATGTAGGTATAGAGATGTATTTTCCTCATGCTATCTGAAAATGAAACATCTTATTTATTGTTGAAAGGTTTTTGGAAAAAATCACAGTTTTCAAACTTATTCATATGCTTTTGGTGCTTTCGGTGAAAGATTTGGGATTTACTATTATACTTGAAAAACATGCATATCTTTCTGTAACTGTGAACGAGTTGAGCATCTTACCTCTGAGTTATTTTCATGTACCATTTTTATTATTATTGTTATGACTGTTGCTGGTCATTGGAGTTGGACTCTGACTCTTGTCCCAGCTCGTCACTACTTTCAACCTAAGGCTATGTTTGTTATTTATTGAGTACATGGGATCGGTTGTACTCATACTACACTTCTGCACCTTGCGTGTAGATGTTGGATGCTAATATTGCTGCGTACGGCGGGAGTTGGATCAGAAGATGTACATGCGTTCCAGTTATGGCTATCACTTGTCCTTGGTAGCATTAGATTTGAATTCTATTCAATTATATTTCAAACAGATATTGTACTTATTTCAATTCAGTTTTGTAAAAGTCCAAAATCTTAGACGCTCATGATTTGTACTACCAGTCCGTGGGTAGTTATATAACATTCAGTTATCTCATCTTTGACTCACATCAGTATTATTACATTGTGTTTTATAGTTAATTGGCTTATCTAGCGGGTTGGGTTAGGTGGCATCACGACGGTTTGGATTTTGGGTCGTGACAGGCTTCTAGTAGTTCCCCTACTAGCCACGCGTATCAAGCCCACCTTATCTCACCGCATGCGTTTCAATACCAAAAACTTATACCACCGCATGCTTATCAATATCACAACGTATCACAAATCGCACCTCAAGTGTCCAATATCACAACTTACCAAAGAAATCAACAATGATAGTGTTTTTACAATAAAGAGCCCATGGCTCGACCACAACGTACACAAGAGTCTCAACAATAACAACTGAGAGTGAATAATTCATCAGGATAGTATTTCACAACTTAACACTTTGCCTCAATGTGAATCACGACCTTTATAACTCAATACTAATTTCAACAACAGATATTCCAAGAATAACAACTTCAAGTAAAGAGTTCAACGGTTTAAATAATGAATATGAAATAAAAGAAATAAGAACTTCAACTAAACATGTAGAGCAATTAGCAAGTAAGAGATAAGACAAGTAGAACATATGAAAATAGACTAATGATGATGAATATAACATGTTAAGATAACTCAATTAAGGCATGAAAGGAATCTGCATAGCTAAAATCAGTAAATTTTCGCATTTAGTCTGTGTACACACTCGTCACCTTGCGTACACGGCTTCCACACATCACAGTTATCATATAACCACACCAATCCTAAGGGGTAATTTCCCCACACAAAGTTAGGCAAGATACTTACCTCAAATCACGCTAACTCAATCCACTAGTAGGTCTTTCCCTCGATTATCCAACTCTGAACGGCTCGAATCTAGCCAAAACAATTTCATACTATAAATATAAACTATAGAAAACTAATTTGAATAATAAAATTACGATCTTTGCAAAGAAGTAAAAAGTCAACTCAAAAAGTAGGAACCCGACCAAAATTATAAAATCCGAACACCCATTCGATAACGAGCCCAATCATACAAGAATTACTCAAATTCGACCTCAAATCGCCTATCAAAATCCCAAAATTTAATCTAGAAAGTTTTCACAATGTTTTTCCAAATTTACAACTCAAATCTGTAATTAGATGATGAAAATAGTAATGGATTCATGAAACATAGTCCAATCCGGGTTAGAATCACTTACCCCAATGATTTCCTTGAAAAACTCTCGAAAAATCGCCTCACGCCGAGCTCTCTAAATCCAAAATATGAAAAATGAGATGAACCCTCGATTTTGAAACTTAAATTCTGCCTAGGTGTTATTCTTCTTCGCAATCGCGGGAATTGCTTCGCGATCGCGAAGCACAAATGCACAGGCTACCAAATTAACATTTCGAAAATGCGGAACACCATGCGCGAATGCGAAACACTGCCTCCACAAGCTACTCGATCACGGTCCACTTCATGCTATCGCAATGAACAAAAACGCGTGGACCTGCAGCCTTCTCTTCCTTCTTCGCAGACGCGATCTCCTTCACGCATTCACGGTGCATTGAAAACAAACCTTCTGCGATCGCAAACCTCTTCTTGCAATGGCATAGAGCAATATTTTCTCTAGTGCTAAACTAATCTTCGCGATCGTATATAATGAAACCAGTAGCAGCAGATTCAGCAATTGTCAAGGTTCTGAAATGCGCCGAACATGATCCGAATTACACCCGAGGCCCCCAGGACCTCAACCAAACATACCAACAAGTCCTAAAATATCATATGAACACACTCGAAGCGTCAAATCACATCTGTCACATCCCAAACTACCCATAGACGTGATTGGCACCCAACATACGCCACCCGCCGGGCGAACCATACTTTCATACCTTAGCCAATGATTTGAAGCATTTGATAAATTAAATGAGTATCCAAATCATCGGATAATCAATTATGAACGATTAATATCTCGAAGTATTAAATTAAAAACTCTAGCCCAAATCTCACATTAGACCATGGAGCATAGAGAATTACAAAAGATATCATATGAATAAATAATAAAGACTCTTTTGACAGCCTTCACGAACAATGCGGTGGCTCACCTCAATAATAGAATCAACTCTAGCGAACTCGTAAACTACTAACTTCATCTTCAATAATAGTATTTGCATGGACATGCAGGTAAGGAGTGAGTTATACGTAAATATAACACAGTAAGATCCTCGACTCGTCACTCTGAATACCTCTGGAATAAGTGTTACAAAATACAAACATACAACGAGCACAAAAATAATATGCACATAAATTCTTTCACCATATAATTACTTTATAAGGTCCAAATAATTATTCAACAACAATACTATATACATCTCAACACAATCTACACTAAGGACTTGTCATTAACTGCAATTCAGGAAATTAATCAAACACCCCAACGAGTCCACGACAGCATACATAATGCCCCAAATCTACCACGGCGGCATACACAATGCCCCAAATATATTACGACAGCGAAAAAATAATTTCTAACGCCTCAACGCCATAGCACGAGGTTACGCCACACCGCACCAAAAATAACTTATTAAATAATTTTAGCTTTTTACAAAATAATATATATTTGTGGCTGTTCAAAAATCACCAATTCTGCCAAGTGCACGCTCGTCCCAACACATGGACCAGACAGAAAAAAAATATACTTTCAAAATGGGTTTTAAAAAAGCAAGTATCAAATCTTAAAGTCTCACTTACCTCAAATTCGCAAATCTGAATTATATGACTCGCGTCATGAACACACAAAATACAAGATGTATAGGTAAATGTCCCGAAGGCAAAGCAAGTCTATATGCCATTATCCAATTCGATCCAAAATCTCATAACTTTTTCTTTCATGGAGAAATCTTCAAAAAGGCTTTTTCACCCTTCGTGAACCTCAAATCACGATCTCATGTGTCGACATACCATATTCAACGCTACCTTCTACAAGACTTACTAAACTAATCTCGACTCAATAACTGTAATTTACTACATTCAACCAACCAAAAGGTGCAAGACACTGGCATCTACATAAAACCTTAAACGACAATATATGTAAACCGAATTAGCAAACTACTAACATGAAGACAAATCATGCTCGGTTCCTAAGTCGCCTCCTCGACTGGTTGACCCCTCCACTGAATCTTTACCGGAGTAATGTTCTTCGACCTCAACTTTCGGACCTGCCTGTCCAAAATGGCCACCGGCTCCTCAATATAAGACAAATCCTTGTCCAACTGGACTGAGCTGAAATCTAACACATGAGACGGATCACCGTGATACTTCCAGAGCATAGAAACATGGAATACGGGATGAACTGCAGCTACACTAGGTGGCAGTGCAAGTTTATAGGCCACCTCTCCAATACTCTAAAGAATCTCAAAATGTCCGATATACCTAGGGCTCAACTTGCCCTTCTTCCCGAACCTCATAACACCCTTCATAGGCGAAACCCGGAGCAAGACCTGCTCCCCAACCATGAATGCAATGTCACGAACCTTCCGATCTGCATAACTCTTCTATCTAGATTGGGCTATACGAAGTCGGTCTTAAATTAATTTAATCTTTTCCAAAGCATCCTACACCAAGTTTGTACCCAATAGTCTAGCCTAGCCTCACCCAGCTTGAACCAACCCACCGGAGACCGACACTGCCTCCCATACAAGGCCTCATACAGAGCCATCTGAATGCTCGATTGGTAGCTGTTGTTGTAGGCAAACTTTGCGAGCGGCAAGAATTGATCCCAAGAACCCCCAAACTCCATCACACACGCACGAATCATATCATCCAGTATCTGAATAGTGTGCTCGGACTGTCCGTCTGTCTGAGGGTGAAATGTTGTACTCAACTTCACCCGCGAGCCTAACTCATGTTGTACGACCCTCCAGAATCACGATGTAAACTGCGTACCTTGGTCAGAGATGATGGATACTGGCACGCCATGAAGTCTGACTATCTCGCGAATATAGACCTGAGCCAGCTGCTATGAAGAATAAGTAGTCATCACTGGAATGAAATGAGCCGACTTGGTCAACCTATCCACAATCACCCAAACTGCATCGAACTTCCTCTGAGTCCGTGGGAGACCAACAACAAAATCCATAGTAATGCACTCCCATTTCCACTTTGGAATCTCTAGCCTTTAAACCAATCCGCCTGGCCGCTGATGCTTATACTTCACCTGCTGATAATTTAGGCACCGCGCTACATACTCCAGTATGTCCTTCTTCATTCTCCTCCACCAATAGTGCTGCCTCAAGTCCTGATACATCTTGGCGGCACCCGGATGAATGAAGTACCGCGAACTGTGGGCCTCTTGAGGAATCAACTCACGCAAACCATCTACATTGGGCACACATAGCCTGCCCAACATCCATAACACACAGTCATCCCCAATAGTGACCTCATTGGCATTGCCGTGCTTAATCGTGTCTATAAGGACAAATAGATGGGGGTCGTCATACTGACGCTCTCTGATATGATCATATAGAGAAGACCGAGAAACCACACAAGTCAAAACTCGTCTCGGCTCTAAAACATCAAGTCTAACATTGGCCAAGGCCTGAATATCCAATGCTAATGGCCTCTTCGCTGCCAATAGATATGCTAAACTGCCCAAGCTCTCCTCCTCTTGACTCAAGGCATCGGCCACCACATTGGCCTTCCCGTGATGGTATAGAATGGTGATATTATAGTCCTTAAATAACTTTAGACATCTCCTTTGCTGCAAGTTAAGATCTTTCTGTTTGAACAAATGTTGCAGATTCTAGTGGTCGGTATAGACTTCACAAGGGACACTGTACAAATAGCGCCGCCAAATCTTCAAGGCATGAACAATAGCTTCTAACTCAAGGTCGTGGATATGATAGGTCTTCTCATGCACCTTCAGATGTCTAGAGGCGTAGGCAATCACCTTACCGTATTGCATCAACGCCGCATCGAGACCAATATGAGACGCATCATAGTACACAGTATAAGACCCCGAGCCCATAGGCAACACCAACACTAGGGTTGTAGTCAAAGATGTATTGAGCTTTTGAAAGCTCTCCTCATACTCCCCGGTCCACCTGAAAGGAGCACCCTTCTGGGTCAATCTAGTCATAGGTGAAACAATATATGAGAAACCCTCTACGAATCGACAGTAATACCCTGCCAAACCAAGAAAACTCTGGATCTCAGTAGCTGAAGACGGTCTGGGCTAACTCTGCACTACTTCAATCTTTTTCGGATCTACCTTGATCCCCTCACTCGACACTACATGACCCCAAAACACCATTGAATCAAGCCAGAATTCACACTTTGAAAATTTTGCATACAACTTATTTTCTCTCAAGGTATGGAGCACGATCCTTAAGTGCTACTCATGATCCTCCCTGCTCCGGGAGTATACCAAGATGTCGTCAATAAAAACAATGATGAATAAGTCAAGATAGGGCTGGAATACACAGTTTATCAAGTGCATGAATGCTGCTGGGGCATTGGTCAACCCAAATGACATCACAAGGAACTTGTAATGACCATACCAAGTCCTGAAGGCAGTCTTCAGAATATTCGGCTCCCGAATCTTCAACTGATGATAGCCTGACCGCAAATCAATCTTTGAGAACACTCTGGCACCCTTAGCTGATCAAATAGTTCATCAATGGCAATGGATACCTGTTCTTCACTGTAACCTTGTTCAACTGTCAATAATCAATACACATGCGCATAGAGCCATCCTTCTTCTTTACAAACAAGACCAGAGCACCACAAGGTGATATACTGGGTGGAATGAAACCCTTATCAAGAAACTCTTGCAACTGATCCTTTAACTCCTTCAACTCTGCTGGGGCCATACGATATGGTAGAATAGAAATGGGCTGAGTGCTCAACAACAGATCAATACCAAAATCGATATCCATATCGGGTGGCATGCCCTGAAGATCTTCTAGAAATACATCTGGATAGTCCCTTACTACCGGAATTGACTCAACGGTAGGAGTATCAACACCGACATCTCTCACATATGCTAGATACGCATCACATCCATTTCCAACCATCCGTTGTGCCTTAAGGAAATACACCACCCTACTAGGAACATAATCTAAAGTACCTCTCCACTCCAACTGCGGCAAACCTGGCATAGACAATGTCGCCGTCTTGGTGTGACTATCAAGGATAGAATGATAGGACGACAACCAGTCCATACCCAAGATAACATCAAAATCTACCATACTGAGCAACAATAGGTCGGCTCTGGTCTCAAAACCACCTAGAACAACTAAACACGACCGATATATATGGTCAACAACAATGGAATCCCCCACTGCATGGACACATATACATGAGAACTTAAGGAATCACGGGATACACACAAATATGGAGAAAAATAAGATGATACCTAGGAATAAGTGGAGCCTGAATCAAATAAGACCGATGCATCTCTATGACAAACCGGAACAATACCTGTGATAACTGAGTCTGATGCAACCGCCTCCGTCCTAGTAGGGAGAACATAACATCTGGCCTGGCCTCCCCCTCTAGGGCG